TGAATAAATCTGGCCCCAGGACTGACTCCTGGGTCATGCCACTTGTCAACTAGACATTGAGCCATTGATTAGTACCCTTTGAGCCCAATAATCCATCCAGTTTTTTATCTGCCTTACAGTCCATTCATCCAGCCCATACTTCCTTAACTTGCCTGCAAGAATGTTGTGGGAGACAGCATCAAAAGCCTGGCTAAAGCCAAAGTATATCGCATCCCTGCATCCACAGAGCCAGTCATCTCAGTATAGAAGGCAATCAAGTTGGTTGGGCATGACTTGCCCTTGGTGAATCCATGCTGACTGTTTTTAATCACCTTTTTCTCCTCCAAGTGCTTAGAAATGGATTCCTTGAGGATCTGCTCCATCATTTTTCCAGGGACTGAAGTCAGGCTGACTGGTGTGAAGTTCCCCAGATCGCCTTCTTCCCTTCCTTAAAGATGAACATTATATTTTCCTTTTTCCAATTGTCTGGGACCTCTCTCAAGTGCCACAAGTTTTCAAATATAATGGTCACAAGCTCTGCAATCACTTTAACCAACTCCCTCTGTACCGTCAGATGCATTGCATCCAGCCCCGTGAACTTGTTCATGTCCAGCTTTTCTAAATAGTCCCTAGCCTGTTCTTTTGTCACTGTTGGCTTCTCACCTCCTCCCCAAACTGTGCTTCCAGGTTCAGTAGTCTGGGAGCTGACCTTGCCTGTGAAGACTGAGGTAAAAAAAGGCATTGAGTACTTCAGTCTTTTTTTGTATCATCTGTCACTAGGTTGACTCCTCCCATTCAGTAAGGGACCCACACTTTCTCTGATCTTCTTTTTATTACTGACATACTTGCAGAAACCCTATTTGTTACTCCTCATGTCCCTTGCTAGCTGCAACTCCAGTTGTGCTTTGGCCTTTCTGATTTCATCCCTTTATGCCTTCATGCCCAAGCAGTGCTCTTATACTCCTTCCTAGTTGTTTGTCCAAGTTTCCACTTTTTGTAAGTTTTTATTTTTGTGTTTTAGCTCACTGAAGAGTTCCCTGCTAAGCCAAGCTGGTTTTCTTCCATATTTGCTAGTCTTCCTGTGTATTGGGATGGCCCATTCATGCACCCTCAGTAAAGTTTCTTTAAAGCACAACCCACTCTCCTGGACTCCTTTCCCCTTCAGACTGGCCTCCCTGGGGCTCCTGCTCATCAGTTCCCTGAGTAAGTCAGTCAGCTTTTCTGAAGTTCAGGGTTCTTACTCTGCTGCTCTCCTGCCTTCCTTTCCTTAGGATCCTGAACTCAGTCATCCTGTGGTCACTGCTGCCCAAGTTGCCATCCACTACAACATTCCCCACCAATTCTTCCCTGTTTGTGAGCAACAGGTCAAGAAGCACACGACGCCTATTTGTTCTCTCCAACACTTGCACCGGGAAGTTGTCCCCAGCACTCTCCAACATCTTCCTGGATTGCCTGTTCACTGCTGTATTGCAGGTTCCTCACATCAGTTCCCATGCTTCAGGTCAATCCCATGATCCTCTTATATGTGGATGGAAGGGGAGTAAGTGTTTGGGAAAATGGTTTCCTTCAAATGAAATTGTTCTTGGGCCATAGAGGTAGCTGTTCTAGTTGGTTAATAATTCCCATTGTGTACTGGGCTTGAACTTGATTTTCTTCACGAAGGAGATACAGGATTTCCATGCTGCCCCAGCTCTGGCCAGCAGGAGCACTTGAGGTGAATTCCTCTCAATCTAGGGCAAAAGGGGTTATTGAAAAGAAATGATACTAATTGGACAAGCCTGGAACCCATTGTTTATCCATCTCTGTTCCCTGTGGTCACCCATTACCATAGTCTCTATGCACCTCCCAGGTATTTGAAAACGACATAAAATGCTTTCTTCCAGATTGGAGGCATTCCTCACCAGGTGAGTGAACTTTCAGAGATTATAGAAGTTATGTATCTCCCTTTGGAGTAAAGTATGTTGTCCCCAGAGTTACAAGCAAATTCCAGTAAGCCCTTATTCACTACCTGGAGAACAGGGACACCGGAGCCCTGAGCTCTGCAGAGTAAAGGAATTACAAGGCTCAAGGAAGAGAAAAGTCTTAACTATGAACTTGTATAAGGGCCAGGGAGGAACCATGAGAACTTCCATATTTTTCCCATGCAAATATGAATATTTTCATCCCAAGTTCTTAGCCATATGTTATAGACAACACTGTTCTGGGACAAAAGTCATAAAACACACTTGTGTTCTGACCGCATCAAAAACCACTTAGGACTAGTTCACTGTTCTGGTGAGCTGCAATATGTGTCCACACCCTCTCTCACATTGTATTTTTAGGTCAAATCCAAAACCCACTGAAGGAACAGAATCTCTTGGACGTCTTTTGGCCTTGGATCAGACCCAACAACCGTTGTGTAGTGTATTATTGTCATACCGGGCAATATTAACTCAAATTGAAGTACCCACTCCCCACTAGTTCTTTATTTCATTTTATAAAAGCAACCTCAGCTTGGCTTGTCTTTGCAAATGTAAGCAGGGGATCACTGTGTTCCCAAGTGCTGCACATATCACAAGCAAGCACAGCATAAATGTTCCTTGGAAGGCTCAAGTACAAAAGGAAGAAATGAAAGGTCACATATAGTGATTTTATTATTATTTTTTCATCATTTGTAATGAAAGGTTTACATTATGGAAGGGATCAGGCAAGTGTATACATACATCAGTAGTGAAACATGCCCTTCACAGGGTCACTGCAATGTGTTCTTGTGATCTTGACCAATCATTTCATCTGGCAACTCTAGTGAAAACTGTTTTGCCTTAACAATGTTGAAAGAGGGAAATATTAGAATACAAGAGAATAATAGTCAGAAAATAAATTAAAAGCATCTGTAAAAGTTTCTTTCCATATACAAATAAGATGGGTTTTTCTTTGCAGTTTTTATTTCTTACTGACACTATTCAAGCTTTAACTTCTAAACTGAAAGCATTTACAAAGGCTGTTTTTACAAGAAGAGGATAGCATGATAAAAGGACAAAGTCTTCTGAGCCTCTGCCAAGAGATGGGAAGTTTAAGGCATTGCACCCCCAATCCTGCACTGAGCTCTGCATGGACAAAGGGAACCTTGGAGGCACTTGGCACCCCTTGGAAGGGGCTCAACAACTTATCAGTTAGGTCCCTCAATGACATCTGGTTAGGGTAAAACAGAGCTACCTTACAATTCTACTCAGGGGAATAGTCTCATTGGGTTTAATGGAACTACTCTCATACGTAAAGACACGCATATACATTTCTTGGACAGCTTGTTTATGCTTCATGCTATATATTACACTTCCTATGAGATTCCTCATTTACCTTAGAAGGGTGGGGTTTCCAAGAACTCTTGGCATTGACAGCTCAGTCTACTTCCAAATGGCCACTTGAGATCAAAGTGAAGCCAATGCTATGTGATTTTGAAATTCTGACCCAAAATTCACATTTGTGTAGTTTTATCCATGTTTTGAGTTAGCCACAAAAATTCTGCACTGACATTAGATGCCACTTTTTAGCAGGGAGGCAGAGCCATTTATCAATGCATAAAATTACCATAATGAAGTAAAGCAGACTAAATAGGGTTTTTGTCAGAGCAATATAAATATTTGGAAAAGTCATTTTAAGATCCATTCTGATATTTAGTTACAAACAGAAATAATTTCCCATGTGATGAACAAATGGCTAATGATAGATGTCACTTTATTCAGAGGATTTCATTTAAAAATAGAAATGCAAAATAAACTTTTTTGCTTATATATGATTACATGGAGTAGGATTTTGATAAGGAAGAATGTATTTGTTATGGTAAAATTATGGGCATTGCACATTATGAATGTCTAGAAAGTATGAGTTGTCATATTAAAGCGTAATGGAGGTGATTATTTTTCTTCCTTGTTGATAGTGTGGCTTTTTGAATTCAGGGGCCTGGCCTGATCCTGATCTCAGTTAAACCAGAGTAATGTCTTTGAAGTCAGTGGATTTATCACAGTGAAAATTAGCATCTAATTAAAATTGGTCATAATACGTTTGCAAAAAACTTCCTTTTTATATGACAAAATGTTTGTAAACAAGTCATAGGGGTTAGCTGAACTCAGAGGAGCTGTGCCCACTTACACGATAAGCTGAATTTTGCCCAAATCAGTTGTACCAAGCAACTCTAGTTATGTGCCTGAATACATGACAACAAATTTTGGACATTAGCTACTGGTTGAAGCTAAGATGCTCCTGTCAGTAGTAGCATTAGATGTTTCCTCAGAGTCTTTTGGTAGAGATGATCTGGGGAAAGGCCAAACACCCTGGTCAAAGAATTTCCTGCAGCCCTCATAAATGAAGCTGGTAGCACAGCCAGTTCTAGTCTCTGACAGAGATGAGTACCATTGGTCTCCTATGGTGGCCAATAGCAAAATTCCTATTCACTTTAATGGGAAGATTCACGTGGATAAGAACTGTAGGAGTGGCATTTCCTTCATCCTTGATTATCACCAGCAGAACAGAAGGGGCCTCAAACCATGGAATTAGACCTTTAGAAAATGTCATAGACTTGAATCATGATCATCTTAAGACATCAATAACCCTGCTAATTTTAGTGCATTTTACCTTCATCAAGACTTGTTTTCTTAGTTTTCTCTTGCTGAACTCAAAGCTTTAATTTTCTATAGTTTATCCACCATTAAAAAATTGTGAACTTCTTGAAGCAGCAAACATCCTTTGTTACAAAAGGATTCCTCTAATCATTACAGGTAAAAGCTTTTAACTAACTTCAGGAGGTGTTTTATGAGATGTCATTCCTGCATCTTATTGGTGGAGTCCAGAGACTCCATTTTCTTGTGTGCCTCTGATTTTCAGGGAAGAAAAAGTAAAGCTAAAGCAATCTGAATTATATAGGACAATTAGCTAAATGCTTTAACTTATCTAAGGAAGCTCCCATTATGAATAGTCAGTTGCACTGCTTCTTAGAGCACTGTGTCACTATGGGTTTTTTCAGTACGTGAGCATAGAGCTTTGCTTTATTTTTTTCTCGCTACAAATATGGTGAGGGTAATGTTAAAGAAATGAAATTCTGAGATTCTAAGGTCACTGAAGTAGAAAACAAATGGATTTTTGAAATATATATATATATCCATGGCACGATCTGGAACAACTGAGAATATGGGAGGGGGGCGAACGTTTAAGAGCCTCAAAGATAATTTCCCTTATTTTGTATTGTACTTTTCAGAATCTGAACTAGACCCAATAGCAAGACTACTGCTTTTCTTGTTTGAAAACCAGTTGAAGAATTGATGTACCCTTTGAAAGCTGGTTTTCATATTCTGTGTTACGGAAATGGAAAGAAACAGATTGTTAAGCAGCCAAGGCCATACCTGCTCTGCTATGAAACCTTGAAACTAGCATTTTGATGTCTCTCTGTGAGCTCATCAGTGTCAAATAAGCAAACCTACTACAGAAGATGAAAACATTTTTTATAGTAAAAATAAATTCATACCTGCTATACCTCCACCATTTTTAATAAAGGTTGAATTTAGACAGTTCCATTAAACTAGCTGTGGATGTTAATAGCCCATCCGATAATGTCCAATACTTATACAGTAGTCAGTATATTTTTATTGTTGCTTTTATTTTCTGTGATCAAAATGCAGGACCAGGTTCTTAAATAAAAATGGTGTAAGTTAAAAGATAGTATGTGACACAGGTGAGTTAGGACTAGACTGCTCTCAGTTACACCTCCTTCAAAGTTCCTCATACCTGCCAAACCCAGAATATTTGGGCACTTAATTCTCTTGGAGTCAATGGGAGCTAGGCACCCAAAATCTCCTTTTTGTCTGTGAGTCTATAAACTGGAAGCAAGAACCTGGAGTTTTGTAAGTTGAATAAGGCACAGCTACATGCGTACGACTAGCTAATGGGACTAAGAGGTAAAGCAGCCTACTTTTAAGAAGACAAAGGCCACACAAACTGCTGTGTTGTGTGCTGAAGACAAATAGGGAACAGGCAAAGGTCAGGAGAGGAGCATTGCTCATGGGTCTGCTAGGTGATGCTTAGCTGCTGTACGCATGGCTCTGTGTGTGAGTGTGTGTGTGTGCGCGCACACATGAGAGAGAGAGAGAGATTGTAAGTCCTCTTGTGGATATATATTTGATTCGGGGAACACCTGTATGCAATGGTTTATTTCTAAATGTGCTGTGGCCTTCTTTTTCTACTCCATTCCTAAATGCTAGCAGGTTGGGTGTGCAGTCTTGCATATTTATCTTCTATTACTGTTCTGCATGGACTGGCCCTCTCCTTGTCTCAGCATGTCTTTGGAGCCACTACATAAGAAAGATCTGGAATGTCTCCATACACACCAGCAATGGGCATGGTAAAGAATAACTAATACTGCCAAAATTGTGCTGACTCCCGCAGTGTTAATGGTGGGGTCATTTAAGGCTCTCTCTTCCTCCTCCTCCTCCTCCTCCTATCCAGTTAGATCATGACAAGATGAATTTATCCTCCTTTCACTCTCAGCCTGTGCTGTATTTATCCCAAGAACATAATGACCTTTTTTCCAACAGGCCATACACAGACTTCCTTTTGTATCATTACAGGATAACTAGCTGTCTTGTCTCCAGTTACACCTCCTGGTTGCCTAAATCACACCAGCCTAATGTGTTGCGTTCACTTTTCACACCATAGTAAGAACTGGGCCAGTTCTTGCCTACAACAGTACATTGCAGGCTTTGCTTGAGAATTCCCATTATCATTTCTTGTGCAAACAGAAGTGAAATTTCTGTCTTGGTAAAACAGTCCTTTTCTTCATTTGAGGTGAATTAAGTCAATAGCAAAAAATAATCACCATTCTTTAGTAAAAAGTATATGAATGCTTTTCCCTCCCCCAATGCGATATATGTACAAAAATAATTTGAGATAACTGCATAACAATTCCTTATTGTAGAACCTCTGTTAATATTTGCAGGCTTTTGGAATGCTTTGGGATGGCAAGTCATCCTTAAAGTAGCGCATGATATAAACTGTTTGTCAGTATTACAGTGTTCTTTGTAGGGTAGACAAAAACAACTTTGGGCTAACTTCAGCCTTCTAGTAAGGTGAGCAGCTCCCACATTATCTTCAGTGGAACTGAAGTGCATGTATCTTAAGACAACTTAGCCTGTGGTGATCATTAAACATGCTGTAAGGGACAGGATTTGGAAAGAAGCGATGGCTGCTAATCAGTTGTCACTTAAACCTAAAGACAGACACTGGAATTATTGTCACACTTCCTGGGCTGCCCAATAAAACTGTACAAAAGCTATTTCTTCCTTGTAATTAATTATTAGATTTGGTTAGGTTTATTTTCATTTAAATAGCAGCTATTGATGTACTTATTTTCTAAAATATGGATTTCTTTGCAGCTGAAGAAGCTTAATTAAAACAGTCTCCTTTTTTTCCTTGAGAGAATTACCATGTATTAGCGACTGCCAATCACACAGTCAGTGGCAGACTCCCAAAGACTTCAGTGCATGAAGGATTGGACTAACACCAAAGAAATTGTAGGTAATCCCCACAGAGTGCAGACTCTTGTGTACTTTGTTCCTCTGAACTCTCCTTAAAGCAAGTCTCTCTTCACAAAATCACACACATAAAGAATAACATGTAGATACAGGCTTTCTTTGTTATTGAGTGACAAGAGCTGTTCAGCAGCCTTTTTGTTTCTGGGGAATGGAAGGCTCTTTCTGTCTGCAACTGTCTTGTTTGCAGCACAAAATACACCTTTTTATAATTTTCAAACACATGTGAAACACCACATTTCATTTAAAATGTTTCTTCTATATATAGAAGGAGGTCAAATGACAGAGAATCTAGTTAGGCATGGCTTATGAGCACAGATATCATCACACTTCCTTGTTTATTGACAGTTGTGGTCCTAAAGACTTCAGGTTCCATGAGGCCTCTGGAAAGGGAGTCTTTCTTACAGTTCACTCCGTAGGCCAAGATTTCTCTGAAGAACAGTTGGAATTTTAAGAAATCAGATCCTTAACTAGTGAGAATTATTACAGCTTAGCTGAAGCCAACAGAGCTATACTGATTTACACCATTTGGGAATCTGTCCCCAGAAGCACACCACTTGCACAAATCAGGAAGGGGTTTATATCAGGAAGCCTTTATATTCCTCTGGGTTTACTCTGTAGTTCTCACCTCAGCAGCACTCCCACTGACTTCTATTGGATCTTTGCCTGGTTACATTATGGACACTACAGGATATGTTCCTTCTTCTCTTCCACATCCCCCATCTCTTGCACATATGTACACACACATTTATCAAGTTTGCAAACACGACAGTATTAGTGACCAAATGGCACATTAAGAATAAACCATTCATGCTATCTTGAAATAGCAGTGAAGCTGCAGGTAGGTGTCTACGTGGTAAAATGGATTGTTGCTGCATTCAGTGCAGTGGGAATCTATTGATACTGTAGTATAGCTCTTAGTTGTTCTGAGAGCAGCAAAAGTATTCATTTGTTCTCAGTGTAGAGAACCTGAATATTTTCTGACCAGCATCTGGTTTCTAAAGTCAATGTGGAGATGAGTTTCACAAAAAAGTTGCTTAAATTTGTTCAAAATAATTTTTCACACAAGCTAATTGTTCTTGAGAGACAGGAGTCTCTTTAAAAAGTGCTATTATATTTAGGTTATGTCCACTAGCATAATACCTCTGCCTGAGCGGATCTGGGCAAATAGTGTGTGAATGCTGCCCTGAATAAAGGGCCAAGCTCTCTGCAATTGTTTTATACCATGCTGGATTCATTTTGCCAATTTTACCTGGTGACAGGACAGTTCACTGAAACAGCATATTGTAGGCATTTGTGAGAGAACGCTCTCAAGGTATATATTTTAAACTGACAGTTTGAGTATCTTTACCAGACACATAGTTCTGAGGCTCTGCCAAGACTGCTAAATTACGAAGCCCAGCAGTAGCATCTTTAAACACATCATGCATGTTGCTGCCCAACCTGGAAGCAGCAGTGTGAATTAATCTTCTCTCACTACAACTCTGCTCACTTGTGCAGCTTCTGGCCTGAGCAGTATGGTGCACAGAACTCTGTGATGCGTTTGATGGCAGTGCTGCTGGTTGCGGTACTTCTGCCATCTCGATGTGGCCTAAAAGCAACTTTTGTCCAATATAGGAACTTAAACAATGCTATGTGACCTATGCAATCAAGACTAGCAAATGCAGACCAAATGTTGGTCAAAACATCACAGTGAAGTCCTCCCAATCAATCTGTGGATCAAGTTATGCAAATAATTTCACATAACAAATTTAAGACATCAGTCATTTCCTCATGGACTATATAAGTAGCAAATTTACTAGAGCCCAGATTATCATCTGGGCAGTTCACAACCTGCTCAATCTGTAGTGGTTTGCCAAGTAACAGGTGAGCCACAGAACTGTTTGCTGTGGCTTTTACTTGAAAGGGCATCTCCATTTAGCTGGAGTTCAACATCAGTCCTCTACAGCTGCTTGGAGAAATGGTGCTTTTAATATCAAAGCTGCAGTAATAAGTTGGAACAGTGGACTGGTCCTATGCAGCTGTTTGCTGCAGCTATATATGATCCCCCTGGCCCTGAGCACCTCACCCGGGGTTGCAAACCCTCATCTTTGGAAATGTTATAGAACATAACTCCACAAACTATCCATGTTCTACCATGCTCGTTAGGAATTATTTGATTAGCTGTGATGCTGAGCTATGATACTTGCATGTCACCAGGCTATATGATGACCAGTTTCTTACTGTTCTGTGGCATGAAAGAAAAGCTTTGGTATGACATTACAAATTCACATGCAACACTGCTGTGATTTGCCCTTATCTAAATTGTGGGCAGGGGCATCATATTAGCTGAAATACAAAGAACACACTAAACAAAAATGGATATACATGTACAATCAATGATATGTCGCATCAAAGAAATAAATGTCTATGTTGGATTTTCTAAGGCTCATAGGATGTCAGGTTTGCTTAGGTTATTTAGCACTTGCTGAGCTGTTCAGAAATTGAAGGCAGAAAGCCTGGTTTCAAACTGTATAACATATTTTTTAAACTCCCTTCCCGTTCATCACTAGAAAAATGGGGCCAACAATAAAACAGCTGCTGCCATTTTCAAAACCTCATACAAAAATAAATCAGCATGTCCTCCTGACAGTTCTAAAAACATCTTGAAGAGTCTTTGATAAAATTTCACTTTTCATTTGTATTTCAACAGAAATACTTAGTCCCAGTTGCCAAATCTTGCTTCTCAGTCAGTTTCAAAGGTGAATTAATTTTACGCCTCCCCCCTCCTCCCTCCCCCACCTAGACATCTCTATTCAGCTTGCTCTTCACATTAGTCTTCTTTCTTACTCAGTTTCGCTCATATCCTTTTTCTTTTTTTTTCTGGAATGAAATGCATTGGCAGTGCAAACAAAAAATATAGGAATAAAAAACATTGCAAAAGATGATGTTAAACAATTCAAAGATTTCTTCTGGGCTGTTATCTGCATGCACAAGACTCCACTGTCATGTTGGGGTAAACCTTAAGCACCACATTCTTATTTTCATCAAAGAATAAGATGCTGAGGGAAGACATTTTGTCAGGAACACAGCATGGCTCAGGAATACCAGGAACAACCCCAACTGCTCTCACAATGCTCTGAATGGTGGCATGGTTTGATGGCTTCAAAGCCTGCAGAAAAAGGCCAAAAAAGTGGGTGAGAAAAAAAAACAAATGCATGTTATGGAAAGCCACATAGTTTTATTATGCTGAGCTACTTGTGACACAATGTAACAAATTCCCTGAAGAAAGACCTTAAAGAGACAAAATGACTGGGTGACTGACATAATTCCAAGTGTCTAAATAAATTTAGTCCATTTTAAGTCATCAGAATATATCCCCTGGGATAGCTACAGGGAATCCAAAGCCTGGGTTAATTTGACTGCCACTGGGTGTCACTGTTGCTCTAGAACTGCAATCAGGGGTTTTTTTTGGTTTTTTGAGAGGAATCAGGTTGCCCCTTAACTTCTTGCCTGGCATGCCCTTTCAAGAGACATGCCTCACTTCTGGAGAGTGTTGTATAACATGTAGATAGGCTAAGATATGCCATACTGATATAAATTTAAATAGAGATGTCTGATACATGCAAACTTTAACTTAGTCATGAGACTAGTTTAACTAGGTGTAAGAATAAGGAAGTAACTCTTGCATGAACACAGTGTTCACTGTGAGTGCAAAACAAGGGTAACTTGTTGAGAAATGGCAAGGTGCATGGGTGGTAAGAAAAGCATGAAGTATTATGAGTGTCTGGATAGCTCACAGTAATGGCTTCTTTTATTATACCATTACTTTTCAGTCAGTTGGCGCGCTCATTAACTTGTTTTGCACACCTACCATATGCCAAAGCAGTCCAAATTAAATGGATTTATGTGCACTCGTTTGTGCATTCATTTGTACTTCTACCAAGTGTTGATTACTGGTGTCTCCACAGTAGTGGCAGCAAAAGGGCTCTTGAACAACTTGTCATAACTAGGCAGGTAGTCAAGGAGCTAGCTGTATTCCTGCCCTACCTTGTGGAGGCTGGGGAAGGGAGAGTGGAGGACTGTGGGACGCTGACGATTCCAGAGACCCTCTGTAGCATTACTTATAACTATCTACAAGTTACATATGGTGCTACAAAATGTGGCACTACAACAGCATTTCTATTTGAAAGAGGCAAGTTTGTATGTGGTGCTACAGATGTCATCTGTAGAAGGAAAAATATTCAAAGTATTCCTGTCCTTGCAGAGGGTAAGCAACACATGGAGCATTCCACCCTTAACTGTAAGGTAATGGTGAGTGAGAGTGCTCAGGCACAGACCCTCAAAGGTACTGAGGTATCAAATGCATGAGAGCTTCAGAGCTTTGCAAAAAGCACCAACCACCACCTAAGACCAGGATCTAGTTTTTGACCACAAAAACTTGACCTCTGCTTTTAGTTTTTTGCAGTGAAGTTCAATAAACTTAAAATTATAATGATTTTTAAAGAGAATATAACTGCAACAGACTGATGGAGTATGTAAAAAAGGAACCCATGAATCCTAACGAGCTCTCTTTTTGTGGCTGGCAGCTTCTCAATACATCTGAAAAGAAACTTTTCAAAAGCATTGCAATCCAGGCTCGCAGGTCCTATAGAAAGGATAACTATAACTTTGTAAAATGCAAGTAAAATGCATGTTCATATGCTCCTTGAAGTGTGAGGCCCAAAACTGGACACAATACTCCAGGGAAGGCCTCACTAGTGCTGAAATGAGTGGAAGACTCACTTCCCTTGCTTTGCAAGAATACTACTGTTAATATAACCCAGGATACTTTTGGCTTATATTCAGCTTATGATCTACCATATAACTTTGTTTTTATGAAAACTTGTTATTCCTCAACACATTTTACTGAGCTTTTTAAAGTTCCAGAACTTTCACAGAATGAGGTAAACGATAAGGTAGTGCTCTATTTTTCCTCCATGTGTGCAACTATGAATGAGCCTTCTGCACAAAAGTCAAGAGAAACACATTATCCTACATCTCCTAAGATCTCTGATGCTTGGACCAAATTTTGAAGGGCAAATATCCATGATGTTTACTGGGTTGGAATTTTTAAGTTTCAATATTCCATATTTATATTTAGTTCATCCCTTTTGGAGCCCTAAATTTATCTTCAGATGCCCTGTGACACTGTTTCAGTTTCCTAAAGAGTGTGCATTTTCTTCCCTCCCACCTGCGTTGTGGCTTCCTTTGGTCAAGTTTGAAATTACCAGACATAATTATATTGTACAAAAAAGAAGAGCAGCAATTCACTGGCTTGAGGCAGCATGCCAGTCCTGAATGGCTGAGGTTTTGCTGTGGCTGTTCAATAGAATTGACTTTGTTTGGGCGGGGTTTAAAATGGCAGTCCTAGATTTCCCTCTTTGGGCAGAACACTCAAAACTTTAATTGAGTACAGCTTTTTCTGAGTACTGATTCTAATGGTGCTTAGAGCCATAGTCTCAGGACTGAAAAAAGGCTTTGCACTTACCAGTATAAGACAATATTCATTACCTACAGAAACATTCTGAATTACACTCTTTGCAACTAATTAAGGCTTCTTACTTGGTTTCGCAAAGTGCATTTAGCCTCTGATAGGCTGCTGGAATTGACAGGATCTAGTCAGTTCAAGGCTGCTTTAGAAGCCTTGAAACAGAGAGGTCCTAGTCATTTTCAAATCATGCCCTTACATGGAGTACAACTGTATTACAAAGTATACAGTGAGGCTGAGAGTTCCTATGCACTGAAGCAGTTTTTGCACTTAACAGGTATGCTGGTAATGTTTGTTTTACTGTAAGCAACAGGTTATGAACTGGAAGGGGCATTACATTAATGCAGTTAACTGAATTATGCACTTATCCAATATCCATTTTACACTATGCTCCCACTGTCACCTGTGTGGGGTTGGTTCAGTGGATCATTGTCTAGCTAAATGTCTCAATAAATGTGACCCTTATGAGGTATTGAGTTAATTTATATGCTTTTTAAATATGTATACTTTTTTTATACTCTTTCAGCCCTCCAAGTGTGGAGGCTCTCTTTGAAAAGGCACTCAGGCCTTGGAGTAAATCTGTCTGTTTAAAGTCAGTGTATAACTTGATTGAGCTTTAAAAATCTTGCCCTGAAGAGTTAAAATGGCATATGCCCTGCATAAGAGGTGTGAGGTCATCTTTGCCACAAGCCAGCCTGTTCTGTCCAGTTCCAGCTAATGAAAAGCAGGCAGAGATTTCACACATGAGATTTTCTATTGGATGGGGGAGTGGGAGTGGTGCAAGGTTGAAACCCAGCAAAGTCCAAATGGCCAAGGCTGTGAAGGAGTCCAGCTGTGATGAGGGCTGCACCTGCTAAGCTGCATGCATCCTTGAGAGACTTGCTGCCTAGTTGAATTTCATTAGAGATGCATTAGGCGTGGGGAGAATGATGTAAGCTACGAACTTTCAATTCCTGACCTGGGAGAGTACACTCTATGGTATTCTGTAAGTCGCTCTATGGTATTCCGTAAGTCCAGCACATGTGGGTTTGACAGCATGCAAACCATGTAATTGAAATCAGGGAGATGGTAAAGCCAAAAATTTGGAGGTTGGGGAAAATAGACACATCTGTAGTTAATTACCCAACAGGTTGTCAACTTTAGTGGCCCATGCTGTGTGGAGCTCATTTCTCCCTCGCCAAGGGAGCAGTATATATCCATAGGCAAAGACGAATTTTTGGTATTACCTGACAGCTACAGTATCAATTTGCAGATGCTATTTGCAGCTCTCATTAATGTCAACGGGAGTTGTCTGCACAGATCAAGAGTACTAAATGGCCCTGAAGTTGCTTGTTTCTTCTTTTCATTTATTGAATTTTCATTCCCTCTGGAGAACAAGTGGATTTTGTTTTATATAATACAAAAAGATTAAATTTTTAACACTACAGATGTGCACAACAAGCACAGTTTGGACCCCCCAAAATCAATGGGAATTTTGCAGTTGTCCCTCATGGAACCAAAAGCATGAAGTGGATTCAGTCATCTGCTTTCATCAATAAGCTGTGTGTGCATGGCAAAGTAAATACAAAATTATTCCCAGATCTCAAAGTTTAAATAACATTAAGGCTAGGGACAGACATTATACATAAAATGGTTTAAATGATCAGGAACTAGTTTAAACCTGTAACAGAACATAAGTTCGGTGCACATAAATCAGTTTCAAAATGGCTGAAACTGGTTTAAGATGAACCCAGTGGAATGTAGTACAGGTGACCCTTGCCATTCCTGGGGGATATGTTTTCATATCCCCCATGAATGGTGAAATCTGCGAATAAGGCACTGCATTCATGAACTCTGTCTGTGTTCATGAACTCAGTGCCCCTAGCACCTGGGGGCTGGGGGGGGGGGCACAGCTGCTCTTGTGACTGGGAGCACGGCGGCAGCAGTGGGGGCACGGTGGCTGCAAGCATGGAGCTCCCAAGGAGCTCCTTTAAGTGTATTTAAGAAGTGAGTTTGGCATTCACAAATATTTTAAACCATGAATGCCAAACCTTCAAATAATGAGGGTTTCCTGTATCAGGCTTGACTGATTTGGATCAAACCGGTTTATGCAATGTCTGTCCCAGACCCCCTCCTGGTTTAAGTTAATCCAGAATCCCCCAGCATCCCAGATAATTTGCAGCCCTGGGCTGGACTGGGCTGTGCTCTTTGCTCCAGAGAACAGGGCTGGCCCCGACCTTCTGCTCCCTGGCCAGAGCTCCGACGGAGACTGCAGGCACAGCAGGGTCTGCTTGGCTTCCCCCTCGCTCCCACCCCCCACTGCTTGCTGCTCAAGTAGGAATCCCCCCCTCCCTCCCTCCCTCCCATCTCCCACAGTGCAGACCCCAGCCCCATGGACCCTAGGCATGTGGTATCCTAGCTAATGCTGAGAGGTGTTTGTGTGTGTGTGTGTGTGTGTGTGTGTGTGTCCAATTTCACTGGGACAAGCTGACAGAACAGTGTCTGCTTAGGGCTTTTTGGAGCTAATCAACAGATCAGCAGGTAATGTCCGTCCATTCCTTCCTTGGAAAAAGCTGTTCAAGAAGAGCTTGAACTAATGAGAGAGGCTTTTGTTTTGTTGATTGGCTGAGAAACGCTGTTATCAGCCCCCTGCTGGCTCCCTTGCTTGTCAGGTTTGCAGGGAGTATGAAGAATGAAGAAGCAGGGAGAAGGAGATTGAAAAGTTCAGTATCATCAACAGATGCATGGACTACATCCCTCCCCCCCTTTTGCCTCAGACTGCGAGCCAGGGACTGGGATCTGGCAACACTCTTGCCCCTTGAGCAGTGAGCAGGGAAAAGTCTGGTACTGTGCAGGCCTGGAGGTGGGGAGGCAGGATTTAAACCCCTCCCTAATCAGAGGTCCTGCCCAGACCTGGCCATGCCCCACCTCTGCTCAACACTGTAGAAAGGAAGGGAGGATGGCTGTAGCACCCCCTGGCGCCTAGTCTGAGCCACTGCAGGCATGTGCCTGCATTTCTTCATTCTGGAGGCAATGTCTGTACAGTTGCAAACCAGTTTAACCTAGGCAGGTTAGACTAATTTGCAAAGATTGAATCATTTCAGGCTTTCTGAATGTCTGTCCCTTGCCTAAGGGTCCAGGCCCACATGCCTCAGATATCCAGATTTTGGGAGTTTTGCATGAAGAAGAAATTTATGACCAAGCCTTTTATAAAATATTTAGAGAGGAAGGATGGTCTCATAGTACTGGACTAGCTGAACAAGTCCTGGATTTTGGTCATGACCTGTCACAGGCTTCCTGCCTGGCACAGATAAAGTCATTTAACCTCTGTCTGCTTTATTTGTCCAACTGAAAAATGGGGATATCTGTTGTTTCCTTGTCTGTCTTGTCTAGTTGGATTGTAAGCTTTTCTAAAGAACTAATCTCAGGGCTTCCAGGAATAACTGCAGTGTAAATAATAAAATTACAATGCAGTGCATTTAGTTAGTTTTAAGGATAAATATCTGATTTAAATCAATCAAGTACTTCTGATGTTCAGCAGATTAGCACCTATTTTCACTGGGGATGAGTTTGACCCTAAATGTTTAAAGAAGCCTGATAGTATACTATGATTTTTTAGGCAAATTGTCTGAAGATAGGAAATTTAAAAGGTGAAACTAATGCTTCAGTCACATAATGGGCTGGTCACAAAAGGGTATGGACAAATGTACATTTGGAACTGTTTCAAAAATGGAAAAGAGAACTCTCATTCTGAACCAGGCAGAAGCTGTTATGTTTTAGCAATTTAATTTACATGAGCTGGGGACAACAGCAGAACAGCTACAGCTCAAAAACCACTTCATCCAAGGCTAAAGCTGGAGAAATTTTGTTTCATATGTATCCCTCCTCCCCCAGCCCCTGCCCCCTTCTGCACTTCTGCCCAGGTAACTTAGAACATATCAGCTGCTGCACCTTCCCAATCAGCAGCCCCACCTTTTGAAATGACTCCAACGATATACTTGTTCATACCCAAAACTCCATTTTGGAGGGCAGTAAGCACTGCATCTCTCTATAACTTAAACTCTCAGACAGCAAAGCATTAGAACAAGTTAATCTTCCCTTTCCCTCAAAACCACTGAGGAACCAAGTACTCACAGTAAAGTACTATCAGATCAGGATTAGAGGGGTTCATACCCATGTGGCAGTTACTTTTCACTGCCTGAGGTACAAGGCCATTGGAATCAGGCCCATGGGCTATGAAATGTTTAAGAGACCCTCTGGATGCTGTATCAAGAAGGTGCCATACAAAGAAAATATACAGGCAACCCCTTCTTAGCGCTCTTAATTGGTTCCTGAAAACCAAGAGTTAAATGAAAGGCACGTTAAATGAAACTGAAAGTATTTGATGACCCAAGATGGCAATTGCAATTGTTTTTAATGACCCAAGATGGTGACCACGAGTGTTATAACGAAACTTGCTGAGAGCTAAGTGAAATCAGGTATCAATTTAAAATGAGTGTTATAGCGAAATAGCGCTAAGTGAAACAGCATTAAGTGGGTTTGCCTGTACATTGGCTATTTTTTCTGGGGTTTGTCAGTGGGTGTCCCTCAAAGAAGGCACTTTATGCTTTTGCTATTGAACCCTCCATATCTTAAAAATTGTTTATGACCTCTGAAGAGAAACTAGCTCACTTTGTTATATTAATGGGCTCTGAGTGGAACTGACAGAAATACTTGCTAGTAACCTGACTGTTGACTTGAATGAATACAGGAGGCCAGTACTAGGTGCTTCTGACCTCCACCTCTGAATATACTTATGCATTCAGTATATACTTTAAAATATATACTCAGGCATATTGAAAGTTCATTCATTCCAGAAGTTGGATGTCTTTAGGCCCATTTGTTCAATCCAGAGTCCAATGAAATCAATGATAGTCTTCCCATTCAATAGGCTTTGGATAGGCTTGCTTTGGATAGATGCAATTTACCTGCCACAAAGAAATGGCTCCCTCTTTAAAGCCATCACAGTCCCATCTGTTAAATATGTATTTTTGTATAAAGACCAATTTTAGAAAGATACCTTACTTAGGGGATGAGAAATAAGGCAGAAGGTACAGCAAGGTAGTACCACCTCTGACTGGTTGAGAGAGTCATAAGCCTTCATAAGCAACAACCTGCTTCATCAGATGCTATGAATGACAGACTGGCAGAAAGAAAATATTTTATACAGAAATGAATTTGACAGGGGAAGGGAATACTGCTAAAAGAGGATGGGAATGGTATCACTCTACCAAAGGCCAGATCCTGTGAGCTGCTCAGAAGCCTCAGCTCCCATTGACTTCACTGAGAAGTAACAGCACTAAAGCCCAGATGCTCACTTTTTTGGTTCCTAACTCCCACTGAAAGCACCTGCAAGGAGATATTCAGAACCTCACAGAATGAGTTCATATTAAAGAGCATATAAGGAACTGGTATAGTTAACTAAATAAGTGGGGCTGACACATCAAGCGCGGCAAAGTGCAGTGGTGTTTATTGAGGAGAATGTATTCTTTTATATAAAGCATGTAGAAGGCAGTAGGACAATTTCTATTGACTTCAATGCTTATCAATTACAATATAACTAGCTGTTGACCTTTTCAGCGTTGGCTTTGTTGCCTTCAATTGTTAGTCCGTTTACATGGCTCACACTATGCATAGATTCATTTAAAGTGTAGAACACTTTTAGACAAAAACGAGCAGCTTGTATCATTCTTTTTTTAAAATATTGTTTTTGTTTTTATAGTCCTATAAACTAACCAAATGGATTTATTTCAGGTAGTGCTTTGTGTGTGTGCACGTATGTGTCTAAGAATTATTTGCTCCTGAGCCAAGATCTATCCCCAAAGCAAAGCAGATTTTTACATTTGAGATTACAAAGTTTATAAACAAGCTTGAAATAGGAAGTGCTGACACAGTTTTAAATTATAGTAGTGCCCCATGCATCACTCTGGTTAACGCCCTTAGAGTTAGGATGGAAAAAGTCCAGGTCAAATTTCTGTTAAAGTGAAAGGTTTGTTTCAAACCCATATGTTGGACTATGACAAAGTGTGGATGGTAATCAATCATAAAACAAGGAGCAAAGCTGCACCCACTTTGAGAGAGAAGCTTAAAAGGCACAGCAGAATGTGTTTCAATGGTAGTAAAATAATCTCATTGTTTTCCTTCTGTGTGCCTAACAAAAGCAGAAAAACCAAAGACTGTCTTTTTCAGATTTACGGTCAGATCCTGCAAACCTGATTCAAGCAACTGTCCTGATCACACTTCCTGATGAGACTAATAGCAAGCCAAATTAACTGTATTGTAATAATCTGTCTCTGTTTTATAGAGTGCCATTCTCTGTTGTCTCAAAGTTACCAAAACTCCATACAAATTTAAAGTCAGCTCACTTGTACTGCTCATAGCTAGTTTCATTAGAGCTAAAGCAGGGGTAATATGAGGCCACAGTAAAAATAATAGTCCCTACGTCCACTAAATATCCTGTAGGAATAGTTCTTGTGCGTCCCTCATTTTAGGTCTTTGTTTCTTAGTGGGTCCCACTCTTCAGCTGTATTAGGGTAACAGGTGTTGGTATGACTCCTGTAGAGTTACATGACACATCAAGTCAGACAACTGATTTTAAGCAGGCAAGCTCATTTGTATCAATCATAGGGGCAGATCAAATGATCCTTCCTCTCTGGAGGACAGTTTCCAGGATCAGCCCCATCATGCTTAGTCATAGCTAGGAATGTTACTGCAGAGCAGACCTGCTCTTTGGCAAACAGTTATTACATTTCTGATTTAATTTGCTTATATTTAGAGTTCAGTCCACTTAGGAGATGCCAACAACTCACTTTTTCAGAGCAGGTTTAGGATCATATCCTGCAAGCGTTTACTGCTAAGTTTGGCACTAACTATTTTGAATAGTCCCATTCCTGGATTTCTATGGAGACTACTCTGTGTAGTACTTGATCATAAGCATTTCCAGGCTCTGTCATTTACTATGCTTTGTTAAATAGGATGGTCATGCGTTCACACATTATTACTATCCTATTAGCAATTTACAGCATGTTTGGACTCTGGACAAAAAATAATTCTTCCATATAACTTTGCTTTTATATCTTTGCGTAAACTGATTCTTACTTCATAGTAGTTGTTTTAACAACTACCCTTAAAAATCAGGCAAAAAAGATTTTACTTATTTACTGTATTCTAGAACTTAATAGGAGTCCAGCTGGATTTTATTGATGCAAAAAAAAAAGTTTGTAGTGCATAAAACTTAGATACATTTTCCTGTTCCATGGAGACAGAGGAGCAATAATGTAAAAGAAAAAAATACATACTATACCTTTGGAATCGGAAACTGGCATTCACCTGAACAATAATATGCATCAAAGGATTTAGGAGAAATAATCCATTCACTCCAGCCAATGTCTGCAAAATCCACTTTGAGATAGCGCCGTGCACAGTGCCGTGGCTCATTCCACTGCTTCCTCCTGGCTTTCTTTAAGGTTTGCTCGTCGAACTGGAGTGTCTGGCTCTTCTGATGCTGGTTCTTTCTCTGCTTTTTCTTACTCTTGGCCCTCTCAGCCAGGCGTGGCTGCAGGGTTTTGTAGGATTTTCTCTCTTCCCATCTCTCACCCTCATTGTACTGGTATTCAGAGCCTGGGAGTTCATTGTTTTGCAAGGGCAACAAGATATTGGTGGAGCGCTTCCGTCGCTGTTCAGTAAGACTGCCCTTGGAGTGGCTCTCCCGTCTAGGAAAGCCCACAGACAGAGAATGTTGGTGTCCTTGAAAGTTAGAAACAACGGTCTCTGGTTCTGAAATGGCAGAATCATTGGCATAGACCAGGATGTAGGGTTCATAGCTGGATGACATCCTTCTCCAGGGGTAATGGCTGGTTGAGGCCATCTTGACACCAATGAGAAATTCATCATTCTGTTTTGCCTCACATAAGGCATGAGTGAAGTCCTTCCACTGCCAGGAAACATTATCCCGATAAGCAGCAGAGACGTTAATTAGAAAGTGTCCCAGAGTCCGAGTTCGGTTCCCATGAGAAGGGAAACTCAACACTAAGAGATCTATCTGAATTTTCGGTTTCCTGCTTCCATGACGAGAGCAGCCTCTGGATTGAGGACAACTCCAACTCAAGTTCAGTAGGTCCCCAATGTAATAATGAAATGAAGCTGACAAGATATTTTCAGACTTGGTTAAGGAGGTTAGATTAAAAACATACAGCTCTTCACTTCCAGGATTCCCTAAAAGAATAAATATTTACATAAGAACATTGGAAACTTTGACAACTAGAAAAGACCCAAGGGCCTTTTGCTTTGTACTTTACTCACTGATCCCATGAGTAATTCCCATTCACTTCAGTGGGAAAGGATCATGGTGTTATTTTTTAATATACAGTCTCTGCCGACTCCACCCTCCAGCCTTTGAATTTAAACTACACTTTACCATTCATTTCCCATTTGACAAATATTCACATCATAGAAGCTATAACTAGACCTAGTAATTCCAAGCTAAGGACAACTAGTTAATATGAAACCCACCACTACATGATATAAACACATCACCCTTCTGAAGTCAGGAAGTAATCTAGGTCACAAGAAGCATGATGGCTATATATTAAGGATAGCAAAAAGCACATGCAAACATTCTTGGAGTCACAATGAGGAGCATGGAGTGTTTGTGAATTTAATGTATGTGAAGACAAGTGCCAAGCCAGGCCATCCTAAAGAGGCATAGCGCAGATGGCTGAAATTTAGATCTGATCCAAAATCCACAGTGATCAATAGAAGAACTGCTGACTTCACTGGACTTTGGATCAGCTTCATTTCAGCTTCACAGCACTAGGCTTACCATTGGGCTATGGTGCTACTGAAATGGGGAAAGTATTTTCCCACCAAGGGAGGATGGGATGGCCTTGTCGCTTGGTGGGGAAGGGGATCAACCAGGAATTGGAAGAGTTGGGCTCACCTCCCAGCCCTGCCCTCAACTTCCCTTGGAGTTCTTGAACAAGTGGTTCGGACTGCCAAAGGAGCCTAAATAGCTTCCCAAATCTCACTAAATTCAATGCCTTCTTAGAAAATCTCATCCTGAGTCACTCTGTGGTGTGCCTATATGTTACAGATGGAGACCTGAAACTCCTTGCTGCTTTTTTTGTCTGGTGCATAGCTACAATCTACAAGCTTAAGTATGTATGCATAATAGGTATAGTTACAGCTGTAAATTGGTGTGCTATGCTTGCTTGCTCAGTTTAACATACTGTACTTAATAAAAAATGCCAGGTTTTAAAGTTGAAGCCATTTGTTTAGTGTTTTGCTATGTAAGGGGCCATGACATAGTCTACACACCCTAGTGGAGGACTTGTACGGTCACCCCTCTATGTATAAGTAGGCCCTTGATGAGAGACCTGCACAGTAACAAGCACCAAATTAGAACACTGATAAAAAAAAGTACAGAAGTAAAAGCAGTATACCTCAAAAAAATGAAAGACCAGAACGGCATGTCTTGATCTAGCACCCCAAGAGCCAGAGTCATTTGAAAGGTTTAGGGTGAAAGGCAGAGCAAGAAAAACAACACCATTTTTGCATACTCAGATAATCCATGATATCTTATAGTGCTGTTTAATAAGCCAGTGGCATCAGGACTAGTTTTACAGTCTCCTGGCTTTCAGTCAGACTACTATTGTTCTCTATTATCTGGATGTAGACTCAGTAATTTCTTACCCAATTCATACATTAAATTACATCTACCACAGGAAGTAGAACAAGCTGCATGAATGAAGAGAGAAAGGAAGCTGAAGAAAGCACGATATCCAGTTCAAGGTGAGTTTAAAGATAGACATTTGTTGCCAAAAAACCCTCTTCCCTGTAGGCATGGTGGAGAAGATTATAAGCCAAAGGCAATAATTGTGTGTATTCAGGATGTACCAATGAGCAGGATCCTGTGGAAAGAAGGGTTTCCACAGCTGTGAAACTAGAGAAGTCAGTCTTACCACAGGTATCTTTCACAAACCTAAGACCATATTCCCAACACAGGACTTGTTTCACCATGGCACTTAAGCCTGTGCCTAACCAAGAATGTGTTTGGTTCTTTTGGGTCACAATCAGAAATGTCATGTTTTAACAAAAGAATGATGTTCCCTGCTCAAATTATAATTAGTTCTGCATTGGTCAAACTGGCAAAACATAGATTCTGACATTAAGGAACACCAGAGAGCTGTAAAGCTGGGCTGTATGGAAAATTAAACTGTAACAGAACATGTGTAGTCCCCAGAAGGACTGGAAAAAACCCCAGCATAGTGGAACAACCAGGGGACATCCAGTTAAAAGCTGTTCTGACAGCTTGGCATGTCAAAACTCTCTCTTGAATCTGAGGAAGGGATCTCACTGTACGGGTTTTTCCAAGACTTATTTTTCCATCAAAAAAAAAAAAAACAGGCAAAAATAAACTCCAGAAATGCCCACAGGGATAAGGATGAACAGGCCTCTCGATAAAGAACATACCAGCTGATACAGAACTTTTGTCCAAATGCTTCTGCTGAACTAAAACCGAACCCTCCCCCCTGTTGATATTCAAAAAGTTGGTCAATGTTTAATTCAGAGGGAACCCTGGGCTTTCAGGTTCTTATCCAAAGCTTCTTAATTGGTTTAACTATCAATGTAATTAAAAAAATGAAAAACAAATTAAGAAAATCAACAATTCCATCTTGCTTTCATTTTTTTGCTACGAAACTCTCAGGAACAGCAGGGTTCAGAGCAGTTACAAGATGGAAAACTTCTATTATATTATATTTATTGTTCTGCAAAGGCAAAAGGAACATTATTTATGCAAATTTATGACTCAACAGGAATTGTTGAGACTCACAGAAAAGAGGACCTGCTTCAATATTCTTTCTAGACTGATTTGGGGGATACAAGAGGTTCAGATAGGTCAGTTTTCAGGTGCTTAGACAAACTGAATCAAAGTCATTCAGGGTGCTGCACTTGGGCTGTAGGAACCAGCAGCACACTTACACAATGGGGAACTCCCTACTCGAGAGCACGGAGGCAGAAAGAGATCTTGGAGTCATTATTGACTCCAAGATGAACATGGGCCGACAATGCGAGGTCATGGTTGGCAGGGCTAACCGGACCTTGTCGTGCATCCACAGGTGCATCTCGAGTAGAGCCAAGGAGGTGATCCTCCCCCTCTACGCGACGCTGGTCAGGCCACAGCTGGAGTATTGTGTCCAGTTCTGTGCGCCCCATTTCAAGAGGGATGTGGACAACATGGAGAGGGTCCAGAGGAGGGCCACCCGCATGATCCGGGGACAACAGGGCAGACCCTACAGTGAGAGACTGCAGGACCTGAACCTATTCAGCCTCCACAAGAGAAGGCTGAGGGGGGACCTGGTGACCATCTATAGACTCACTAGGGGGGACCAGAAGGGTTTGGGGGAGACGCTGTTTCCCCTGGCGCCCGCTGGCATAACAAGGAGTAATGGGCACAAGTTGATGGAGAGGAGGTATAGATTGGACATCCGCAAGAACTACTTCACAGTTAGGGCAGCTAGGAGCTGGAACCAACTTCCAAGGGAAGTGGTGCTGGCCCCTACCCTGGGGGTCTTTAAGAAGAGGCTGGATGCCTACCTGGCTGGACTCATTTGAGTCCCGTTTCTTGTTTTTGGGGTTTTTGTTGTTCTCCCGCCCTGGCGGGGGTCGGGCTAGAAGATCTACTAGGTCCCTTCCGACCCTTAATCTATGAATCTATGAGTTTCTGTCTATTAATCATTACCTGAAATAATCCTAAATTTCCATACAAGGGACCAAAGTTTGATTTACAACAGGGGCAGGAGCACTCTCTTCCCATGTATCTATGAAGCACTTACTACCTAGGCACCTGAGTTCGTTTGAGGTTCGTATTCAGTACTGCAGGGTAAATAATAACTAACTGTACAAATCATTTATGACAGCATATTCAGAATTGCAATTATTGTGCCATCAGTGTGTCTACTATAGGAAGTTCTTTGTTTGATTTTTTTAAATCTGTTGACTCACAAATGTTGGTTTTCTTTTGGGGATTAAGATATTTATTTTATAACACAACTGTTGAAAGTTCAGAATTTGGGAATGAAAGAAAATGGGGCATAAAATAAGCTGTTCTTGTTTATTGAGCAAAACAGAAAAACTAGTTGGTTTGAGCCACACAGAAACAGAAGGAGCAATATATTCTTTGACTAAGAAGCCAAGCCAGATTCTTGAAATCCTGGTAATTTTTCTAAGACTGCCAACAAACATCACAAACTACCAGTAGATGGCAATGTCTTCATATGGCTTAGCCCGCCCAAAGAAAGGCAGCCTAAACAAGCAGAGGTAGGGATAAAATAATTCAGTCTCCTGACTACTAATGACTCTTGCAGGCTAATCATTAGCTGTTGCCACTGATTTCTTATGTATCAGTTTGGTTTAAGGATTATCTTAAAATGGAAATGCACACAAAACAATGGGTTGCTATCCCTTTGGAGCATGGAGTCAAACTGATTCAGCATAGAACAGAGATGATTTCAGAGTGCAGACCAATTTCAATAACAATTTTTAGAGGATGAAGATATAGTGAAGGAGTTAGCCACAGAGTATCTATTTCTGCAGCTTTTTCCCAGGTAAAACATTAAGCCATTTGACATTGAAGCATCCACATCTAAACCCAAAGGAAATACCAGGAAGTTACTAAACACCTGCTCTTACAGACGCTACAATTCAAACTATTAACACCACAGTTCAGAGCCGCAGAAGAACCTGTAACAGTGCCACAGTCTTGTAGTTACTAGTCGCTTGATACATTAATGCACAAGATCAGTCCTTGGTGTCAATCAGCCTTTCTCTACTGACTTGAGTATGGTTTAACAGATGTACACAGCCAGAGACATCATTATTCAGAATGAGATGAGATTTCTTTGAACAATAGCTTAAAAAACCCCAAACCACAAGCACTGGGCCTGATTCTCAGTCACATGGCAGAATGGCTTAAGTACCGTTGCTAATACCAATATCTAATTCTTATACAGCATTTTTCACCAGTATCTCTCAAAGTGCTTTGGAGAGGATCTCCATATCAGTCTTCTTATTTTAGATGGGGAAACTGAGGCACACAGAGGAAACATGATGTGTGGAAGGTCACCAGCAGAGAGGAATCAAGACTTAAGTCACCCAGCAAACTTCTGAAAGAGCCAGGAATGGAGTTCTGCTTTCCTGCGACATAGTTTAGTGCAGTCTCCAGTTAGCTAGACTGATGCTCAATAAGAGGACTTTAAGATTTTTTTTGCATACAATATAATCTACTTGCAACCTCAAGTAGATTACTTGTCTGAAGCAAAAGCACTAGACAGGTAAAAGCACCTAAGCACTCTGGAGTTCTAGCACCATGACAGAACTCTCCATTGCAGATAAAAAAAATACATCCCATTCTTATATGGTGCCATTTTACACTCCCTTTGCACAAGTGCATGTCACCAAGCCAGGTCCAATGCAATGGCAAATAAGGCCAATGCCTACTGAATGACAATCCCCCTCCAATCTGCTGTACAACAAGCTTTCCATCATGACCTGCATTCACTGGGTCTGATCCTGTCTGCTACACACAAACAAGGGGAATTTCATTAACTCAGGTGAGAACCAGTTCTTACTTTTGCCATCGCATGGGATGCATATAGAGGCATTGTTGAAATACAGAGCAAATGAGGAGAAAAAACATTTAAGGAGGTAGCAAGCAAGGTGAAAATGGGGAACTAACAAGAAGATGAAAACTCTGATAGCATCTAGCTGCTACAAGGTCTGAGCTAAAAATAAATCCCTGTTCCCATACACACACCTCAATACAGTAGCTAGATTTTGCTACTGGGTGCTGAAGATTTTGTTTGGCATTTAATCCTTGTAGTATTGAGCCCTTGGGAACCTGCAAGAGATAAGACAGATCTCATGCACACTTGTTATGATAACTGACTGATTGCACTGTGGGAGAGGCTTAGAACTCCTGTCATGGACCAGGGCAGGGAGGTACTGTACAAACATATTTTATTGTTTGTATTCATGCAATATACCATAGGGTAGCGCACACAGTTCAGTAGATGGGACATCAGCCTGGACTGGCCAGCACTCTCAGCTGGTCATGTGAGCACACACAAGTCACCACATGTCTCAGTTTTCTTGGGTGAAATCCTGACTTCTTTGTACTCAGTGGCATCAGGTTTGCATTCCTTCCCTAAATTTAAGAGTGGGTGGGGTAGGGAGGAGGAGAGAGAAAGGGATGGCTACACAGAGATGAGCAAGATCTACAACAGAAAAGCTTCCAGAAAATATTATTAAAACATATTTTGTTCCTTATAGTTGTCAGATGCACCTTTAATCGAGTCAGCACTTGCCAGCAGTTACTGTGTGGCACTATATGAGATGAGAGTTTATTCAGACATACTTAGCATAGGAAATATACCACTCAATACGCATAATGGTACTTGCTGCACTAACACCACAAAGAACTCACAGCTGTGTGTATTACCTGCTACCACTGCCAGCATGAAAGGTACTGTAAGAAAAAGCAGCAGGTCTGTGAAAACTGACATCACCCACATAAACATATATTCATGTTACAAGGGGCATTCCCATACATCAATAAGTTGGAACAAGTCCATGAACATGTGGTGTGTTTACCTTTATAGAGGATATACTGACATTTTTATGGACTGCCAGATCTTTCCCATGGGTGAAAAGGGATGCAATAATGAGGGTTATTTAGTTATATAGTCATCATTAGACATAGTTTAAATTAGATATTAAAGTTGTGCACTTGTGGCAGTGCACAGTTAAGAATGTATCAGCATTTCCATTGTAAAACCTTATTATCATGGGGTTTTAGTCCAACTGTAAATATTTGTTATTAACTAAAACCTGGACATTTCAGGCTACAAAAAACAAGTTTTGATGCTTCCCCACTATACTATCATCTTTGGTAATCCCTTCCCTGTTCCACTAATCTGGGTAACTTTAAATTATGAATGTAAAAATATGGCACTTCTGCA